TTGTCTCATTTATATTTCCGAAGTATCTCGTATCTTATTTGTTGCATATAGCTCACTTGAAATATATTTGTTTATTCGTATGTTCCGTATACATGCGACCCTTCCAATCGTTATCACCATGGAATCATTTATTTATAATTTTCATCCCATCACCAACATCACAACATTAATGTTAATGTCAGTTAGTGTCAAATTTTTTCTACCCTAGAATCTTAAACGCTTTTCATTCGGAGAGTATTTTCCCGGTGTCAACTCGTTTTTGGCTTTCCGACTGCCGTTTCCGTAAGAACATGCTTTGCGTCGTTTTGTTCTGGTTTTGGTTGCAGCGATTTTTATTTTCCGATCTCATTCCATCTCTATTGCACGTATTCAGTTTCAGTTATTTATTTGATATATCATCTAATTGATCTTCTGTGAACAATATGTAGTTAATAAATGTGATCAACTCATAAAATTTTAATGTGCTCATCGAATATCTTATCGAATGAATGACTGAATTCATTCGTTCAATTCATGTGTGTGTGGCGATTGTATTCATCTGTCAACGCGTATCATATCCACTTTCTTGAATACTTTCCACTTTATTCATCATCCGTTCAGTTGTACTACGTTCGCTTTGTTTCGTTGTACAAGCCTGGGTATTTTGATGTGGTCAGGATAGGTTCTTTGCGATGAAGTCTTGTCCAAGACAATCTTCATCTGATAGTGAGTATGAGTCGGAAGGCAGAAAAAGCCTATCGATGAATTAATGAAACATTCATTGCAGGATATCCACCAGCGATGTCACAACCGCAATCCTCATCTGGCCGACCACCACCTCAATCGCCGATTATCTACCCGCAGGGTGGTCCTGCAGGTTGTCCTCAACCACCTCAGGTCCAACAAGCGCCTCCACCCCAGGTCGCAGCCCAGCAACGTTCTCTCTACGCTCAGGCTGCCAATCAGCCAATGACTGTCCCATCACCTCAACAACCAGTACCACCGCAAACGCCGCAAACTCCTCAGCAACCCCCTCCTGGCATACCCCTCTCACAACCTCAACAATACCCTCCTCCACCTGCATACTACCAACAAAAATCTCAACCCCTACCAGGATATCCGTCATCACAACCGCCAATGTATCGTCAACAGGTCTGTTCGTTCATCTCTGATTCCATACGATTTTCAGCAGCGTATTGACTGATTGATAGATGAAAATTCAAAAGCGTTGTAAAATCTAGACAGATAAAAGTGTTTGAGCGTGAAGATGGAACAAAAAAGCTCCAGTGTGATTGTAGTTAACTTTTATGATCGGTTCCATTGTTTGAACGTAGGAAAACATCTTCAACAAAGGAATAGAATGCATTTTCGAATGTTTATTTGCAGTGTTTGTTCGGTGAAATTGATGATGTATGAATTCGATCAATTGCAGAATATGAATTCTTTTAGTAGTTTTGACAGTAGTGAATAGTTGATGTGTATGCTTGTGCTGTGCTAAGGAAATATGTGAAATATTCATGCTATATGCATTTGAAGTGAATCAAAATGATCGTCTTAAATGAATCTCTTCAAGTTTTAATATTTTATTATATCCAAGCAGAACTGCTGTCCCAATTAGTTTTAATAAGCACAGCAAAACACTGTTATAAAATTTCAGTTTTCTAAATATTATTTGTCTCATTTTGAGTCTCTCTTTATAATTTCGTTTGCCAACATGCAAATAAGTTTTCGACTATTGCGAATGCTTGAACCATTCTCGTTTAGTTGGCTGATAAAGTTTCTCAGTCATCACTCTCATTCAGATGTATTTATGGTGATGTGTATAACCTGATCAATAGCATAAAACTAAACGACGAAGAATGAATTTGTTTGTAGCACGCGTTGTCATTAGCAGTTCATTGTGTCGGGTGTCATAGTTTTACTTTTTGCTAGGTTACGTTGCGCTTTTGTGTGTGTGACTCATTGATGATGTTTCATTTGGAAATGAATCGGAAACTAATATTTCGTAACGTTGCCTTTATTGGTTAATGAAAACGATGATTCTAGTGATACTACATCGAGTCGAACAACATTCATACTCAATGATGACTCGCAGTCTTGTTCTGTCCCATATAGCTGGTGAAACCTGTATAAATAAGCGAAGATATTTCTGAGATTGATAATGAACTAGTAGTGTTTCAGGGACCACAATCAGTACCTGTTCGAGCATACTTGAGCAATCAACCGTCACCAATGAATTCATCACCGGCATATGCAAGTAAGTGATCGTTTCTGAGTGTGTGTTCTGCTTTTAGTATGATTTGATGTGAGCACTAAATTTTGATTCGTCATTTGAAGTCATTCGGAGTGCTTGCGAAAGTGAAACTTTCAAATTAAACGAGAGAATTTTATGCAAGAAACACGATAAGTAAAGTGCGTGATTTGTACAATGCACATATTCGATTGTGAATGCTGCCAACATAAGCTTTCTTCGAAGAACCACGTTCCAAAAGATACCGCTTGATTGAATGCCAGCCACGCCGCATTGATCTGACTTGATCACAGTCATTTGCCTACTTATCATTTCATATTATCACAATCAAATGAATGGAAGTAACTTCGAGGAAGAGTGTCAAAAGTTNTTTGAAGGATTAAATTAAGTTGATGTTTGAAATTAAGTAGTTTGAAATCTTCATCTTCTGTCGGGATTTGTAGAATGAGAGTCGTGGCGAGACAGCTGAAGTCCAGAAATGTGTATAAGGCACTTTAAGAAGGTGCTATTGATTACTTTCAGAAGGAACGAGCAAAAATCTCAGCTGATTTGAATTTACGAATATTTTATCGATAACGAGTTCAGCATCCGGAAGTGTTTAAAATTCTAATGTTATCTAATCATTCAGAAACACATGATAACATTTGAAGAACAGATAGATGACCTTTAAAATATGATAGATATACGAGGGTCTAAATGAATTTTTGAAACAAAACAGAATAAATTGAACCTAGCAAATGAATTGTAGTCATTCGCGGTTGACATTTATTTAATTGTAAATTGCTGACTATGAGATGGCAATATAACTATTTATATGCAATCTCATGTTCAGATTCTTTTTGTACGTTCATTCTTTTATTGGCATGCGAATCGAATTTTGTTCTTATTGAAATTTGTTGAGAAAAGACATTTGAGTCATACATAATGGATATGCTATGATATATCGTATTCAATTGTGTGAAAAATGAAGATGTCGAGTGAAAATGATACTGGAAAATAAAGATGGATATTTCCAGGAAAAAGATCATTAGTTCGAAAGAATTACGTTCGAAAATAGCTGTTTCTATATTGGCATTGTCGAATATCAGTTGTCATTATTGCCTATTGAATAGATTCAGCTGTGAACAGACACTCTCACTTCCAATGAGTTATTCTGATAAAAGCGCACTAGAATTGATTATCGACGAAATATTTACAGGGCTACTGAAATTGAACTTTTCGTATTTCTTATTGCATTGATGAGATAAAAAGTTCAAACTGCATTCTGTTTAGTTTTTTTTTCTTGACATTTGAAATGAACTTTTTCGTGCATCTTTATTCAAAATACAAATGAGGTAGTCCTTTTTCTTCGTAAGAAGTGTAGGCCATTGAACGATTTAGCTTCGATGAAGGGTCCGTCCAGGAATTTTTTTTGATGGGCAGTAAAAGTATTGAACATTTTTTCGAATGTAATTTTACTTCTATCAGATATTGGCTCTTGTTAAACAATGATGTGAAAACATTACCAGTTTTAATATCGGTTCGAATCGGAACTCAAAGGTAAGCTCATTTCTGCTCCAGCAGAATGTTGTCAAAAACGAGAACTTAGAACAGATAAAGATACTGCTTCCGAAAGCGATATTCAATATTGACGTATAGAGTATTTATGTGTCGTTGAATTTGTTTCACATTCATTGAACCATTAAGAGAATGTTCACTTGTAAAAGTGAAGGTGTATTGTATAGGTTATCATTCATTGAATACTTTGATTCGTTGGACAATAGTAGTGGTCGGTTCTTGTGATAGATTGACGAATGTGTTGCATCTTCAGTTGGTAGTTGGAGAAATGACGCAAATTGCGATCCTTTTTTTATTGAATGAGTTATGACTGCAATTCAAGTTCAGTAAATGAACAACATTGTAGTGGCTGTAAGAATGGGCAGTAATTAAGTTCACTTCAATATTCCTTCAAATTATTCGAAACTGAATTCACTCTCTCAGCTATTGGTTCATCGCTTTATCGTGTTACACTAATTTGAATCATCCCGTTTACTTGTAAAATTCATTTACTCACTCATTATCGTTGATTTAACGTAATAAAATAGTTCCTAATGTTACTCTTCTTCTAATAAGTGGACCGACTTGTCATGAACAGATAGGTTCTCCTTTCATATCAAACAGATGTACACATGGGTTATTACTGAAACGAAATGAAGCAGCATGTACTTTCGGTTGTAAATTTAATATTTACAGACTGATGTTATCCTATCATATACGCTTGTAAGATCATAGGTATTGAGTGTGATTCTACGAGACTAGATCTTAATCAGTTAAGCCCAGTCGTTGCTTAGGCTTATAGTTACGGCTGTTTGATCATAACGACAGATTTTCATTTGTTCATTCGTCTGTTTTGTCCTGCCGGAAGCTCTTCCTTCACTGTCGTTCATTGTTCATGTTTCTTTTAAGACATGCACATTCAGGGTGATACAAGAATGTTGCAAGGA